CTCTGGCCCGGGACAGCGAGGCCCCCCGGGCCCGACATTCCCCACGCGCGGCGGCAACCGCAGGGCCCGGCGCTGACGGGCGGAGGAAGCGAGCGCGGCGGGGCCGCCGCCGGGACCGTGCCCCGAGGGCTCCGGGGCGAAACAGCTCACGGGGCGGTGAGGGAGGCCCCGAACCGGGGTGAGGTGGCGGCGCCCCCCCTCCCCTCAGCCCGGCCCCACTCGGCCCCCTGAGGAGGGTGGGAGTGGGAGGCTGTCCGGCAGAGCGAGTGTGGAAGCTGGAGGAGGTTCAGGGGAGGACTTACTTTCCTTGCGGGATGCCGGCACACCTTCTCCCGGGCGGCGAGAGTTTGAAGAACCACAGGCGACAGGAGCGGAGGCGGCGGTGGCGGCGGCAGCAGCGGCGTCCGGCTCTGCCTACCTCCCCGCCGCCATCTTGACGCCCCTCCCCCCTGTCCCCCCGCCCCGCCGGGAGGGGCGGGGGCGGGGCGACGGAGAAGGCGCAGCGCGCGCAGCGCGCCCCACGTGACTTCCTCCCTCCCCCACCGCGCTCCCCCGCGCCCCTCTCCGCCCCGCCTCCCTCCTAGGGGAAGGAAGATGGTCTGCCCCCCCCATCTTGACCGCCCCCTGCCTTGGCCGCCGAGCACGGGCTCCGCCGACTCCCGCCGACCCGGTACCAGTGGTTGGATCCAAGGGAATTCCGGAACCCAAACGGTCCATTACTGCGGCTCCGGGGTGGGCGAAGGGTGAGGGGGCCGGGTTTCCGAGAAGGGGGAGGGGGAAGCCGAAGGCCGCTTCGGAGAGTCACGTGTCTACTGCTTCCGCCGGCGCTCGAGAGACCTCGCGAGAATTCCGTTTGCCCTCCCTCCCTGTCTATCCCGCTGGCTGCCGGGAAGAAGGTCTGAGCTCCGGGTCCAGGAGCAGGTCAGCGGGTGGGCCAGGCGCATGCGTCCCGCACCTGCTTGCAAAGTCGCGCTAGGAGGGGCCCGAAGCTGTTTTCAGATCCCTTTTGGTGTGTGGCTTCGGCCCAGGAAGTTAGTTACCTTGTGGCTTCTCGGGTACAATGGAAAGCTCTTCGTTACTCATGGAGTCCTAGATGAAAATGTTCGCGCACACATTGCTCGTTCCGAGCACTTTATTCAATATGAAACCGCAAATAACTCGGAGCCCTTGGGCAGATCCAATGTTAGTAGGAGCGTGAGCACCATCAGACCCACTTTTTTTCCGCGTCCACACCCCATAACCCGAATAAACTATCGTAAAATAGGTCTGTCGCTACCACCTCTCACTGCCTTATAATATTATATGACCTAACACAGAGTAAGTTAATTTATTGGCAACCCTTTTGTAAAGTCATTCTGAGAGCGCTGTTTGACTCGGTTGCTTAGGTAATAGGCACGCCTGGTTGGCTCTTGCCCCCTACTGGCGGCGCGGCGCACTTGCCTAGGAGTGAGAAAGGAAACCTACGAGTTGAAATGCTTGGAGGTTAAGGTGTGAGCTCTTCAAGGGGAGTAGCCATAGCAAAAATAATTATGAATCTTCCAACATAACATTTTTATACATAAACGTGTGTTATATATGTGTGGCCACATAAATAAACATTTTAAATTGCCAACTAAATGCTTTGTTAAAACTTTACTTCCATTGTTTCATTTAATTAAAAATATAAAAAAGGTAAAAATAGCCGAAATCGGTTTGGGTCAGTACATGCCCTTGAACCGAAATCGGTTCGGTTCAAGGGCATGTACCTTGGTTGTGGGCAAATCCCCAGTGGGGGGGTGTGCAGGAGGCAGCTGATCAATGTCTCTCTCTCATCGATGTTTCTAACTATTTCTCTCCTTTCCCCTCTGTAAAGAATCAATAAAATATATTTTAAAAAGGTAAAAAATAAAATAAAAAATAAAAGGTAAAAATAGTTCTATAAGAACAAGGCCTATATCTGTCTTGTTCACTGCTACCACTAGACTAGTGTATTCCCTAGAAGGTAATAACAAGAAATTACAACTCTGTCACATAAAAGGAAAAAAAAAATGAGGAAAAATGCAGCAAAGAAATCTAAAACATTGTAGTTAATACATCAGTATCTTTGGAGCTTGGTTGAAACAATTCAAAGTGGCCCCTACACTCCCGCTGTATACAAGGACTAGCTAGATGAGTACTAGATTCTGAAAACAGGTCTGGCCGAAACCGGTTTGGCTCAGTGGATAGAGCGTCAGTCTGCGGACTGAAAGGTCCCAGGTTCGATTCTGGTCAGGGGCATGTACCTTGGTTGCGGGCACATCCCTGGTAGGGGGTGTGCAAGAGGCAGCTGGTCGATGTTTCTCTCTCATCGACGTTTCTAGCTCTCTATCTCTCTCCCTTCCTCCTCTGTAAAATATCAAAAAATATTTTTTTAAAAAAAAAAGATAAAATGCCCTTGCCCTGCCAGCCTGGCTTGGTGGTTGAGCATTGACCTATGAACCAGGAGATCACAGTTCAATTCCTGGTCAGGGCACATACATGCCCAGGTTGCAAACTCGATTCCCAGTGTGGTGCATGGAGGAGGCAGCCAATCAATGATTCTCCTTATTGATGTTTCTGTCTCTCTCCCCCTCTCCCTTCCTTTCTAAAATCAATAAAAGATATATATTTTAAAAAGACAAATGCCCTTACAGTCTAGTGGGCACTAGTAAAAAAAAAAAAAATTCCACAAAGTGTAAACTCGGAAGTGTGCCAATATCACAAAGAAGCTAACAGAGCCTGTTAAAAAGGCATCTGCCCTCATCAGGGAAGCCAAGAAGTCTTCCTTGAGGCGGTGATGACTGAGCTGAAATGCGGGTGTCATCCAGGCAAAGGGCAGAGGCACCTGCATTTCTGGGGGAGGAAACAGCGCTCCCTGAGAGGGGCTGGAGCAAAGTAAGGAGAAGGCACAGTAACAAGGCAAGTCCATCCCTTGTGTTTCTCAGAGTTGATGTTTCTAACTCTCCCTCTCCTTTCTTCTCTGTAAAAAAAAAAAAAATCAATAAAATATATATTTTTTAAATGGTGAGGATTAACAATAACAAAAACTTTGTATTTTTATGGACACCCTGCTATTCCCTTTGTATTTTATGGACACTCTCCCTTAGAAGCATTTAAGATACCTAAAATCATTGATCGCCTGCCTCCTGCACGCCCCCTACTGGGGATCGTGCCTGCTGTCCGGGCAAGTGCCCTGACCTGAAATTGAACCAGCCACCAATCTTTCGGTGCACAGGACTAGACTCAACCAACTGAGCAAGGACTAGGGTATAACTTAAAGCCATCAAGTCAAAAAGAATTTCTCTCACTTCACCAATCTCTCCCCACATTTTACCCCATTTTCATTGTACTCATAGCATTACTATGTAATAATTATCGTCTAAAAAGTGGCTTCTTGTTTCTTCCCTAAAAAATATGGATGTGTGGCTGAAACCGGTTTGGCTCAGTGGATAGAGCATCAGCCTACACACCGAAAGGTCCTGGGTTTGATTCCAGTCAAGGGCATGTACCTTGGTTGGGGGCCCATCCCCAGTAGGGGGTGTGCAGGAGGCAGCTGGTCAATGTTTCTAGCTCTCTATCCCTCTCCCTTACTCTCTGTAAAAAAAATCAATAAAATATATATTTTAAAAATATGGATGTGTGTCTTATTTGCCACTGTATTATCTTTGAGGGATCAGACAATGCCAGGTATACAACTCAAGAAATGTTGAATTCATAAACTTTAGATAAAGTAAACACCGCTGTATATTTGTGGAAGCTGGAAAAAAAAAAAAAAAAAAAAAACCTTGGAGATCCCCCTTTGCTCAACTCCAAAATCATTTGACAGCTTGAGGAAATTGAGGGCCAAAGAGCTGAACTGACATGCCAACGCCATACGGCAACTTAGCTACTACGTCTCCGGATGCTTTCATCTACCTCCCTTTATTTTGCTTTCCTACTTTCCTGGTGCACGGGTAGACTCTGGGCAATGGTTGGGTCTCTAACATCTTCCTGGGGACCAAAGGGAGAATGGATGAGTGAGTGCCAGTATTTGCCTACATCCCCAGGAAAGAGCGGTAACTGGATACCGTCCCTTCTTTGAAAGCAAAGAATACCCAAGACACGCGTGCTTCTCTGGGACCACACCCACAGTGGCTCCCCTGGATGGGGAACCCTAAAGAGTTGTTTCCCTGGGATTAAGGTCATGATCTAGTGGACTAGCAGTCCAAAGATTGATCCAAGCCCTGCAATTAAACTGCTGGGTGACCATGGGCCAAGTTAAGTTACCTGTTCCCTCGGGTCCTCTGTTTCTGTGAAATGGGTGGATATGGTGGGCTGGGATCGCTGAGGTTCCAAGTTTATAACCTACTGCCCCAGTTGGTAGGAGCTGTGCCAGCGGTTTTGACTACTGGGATAATGGACCGTTCCAATAAACCTTTCGAACCTAGGAATGAATGGATTATTAAACCGCCGAGGGGAGGTCCTGGTATTGGAGATGCCAAACCGCTGGGAGTTAGGCTTCCCAGGTCATAAGGGGAGGCCGCGGGTCAAAGGTCGGGTTCCAGTCAAGTTGGAGAGGAAAAAAAAATGGTCCGCTCTGAGCCGGGTCCTCCAATCACGTGACCAAACCTCCCGAGGCGGAGCTTCAGCGCCGCGAGGGGGGCGGAGTTTGGGGCCTCCAATGGGAACACGGATGTCCTTCCACCGCAGCCAATCAGCGCAGGGAAACGGTACAATTTAAACCCCCGCCCCTCTCCTTCCGCCTCCTCCACGGGGACCTGTCCCCACAGCGTTTGTAGAAAGTACGGCCGCTAGCTCCGCCCCCCCCGTGAGGGAGGCGGAGAGGAGGGCGGGCTTTCCCTCCCGCGTTCGCCTATCACGGCGCGCGGCCAGGGGAGCGGCGGGCGGCGGCGCCAATCAGGGCGGCAGCCGGCTCTCCGGGCAGCAGTTGGCTACAGTTGTTGTAACTTTTTTTTCGAAAGCTGCGTTTCCCGGGAGATCCCAGGCGGTGACAGACCGGCACCATGGGGAGAGGTACGTGCCCAGGCGGCCGGAGCCCGGGCGGCCCGAGCCCGGGCGGCCCGGGTGGGAGGTCGCGCTGGAGAAGGGATTTGGGTGGCGGGAGCGGCGGTGGGGAGGCACCCTCTTGCTGGCTGCTCCCACGGGGCGCGGGGACGGGGTGGGGGTGGGGGTGGAGGAAGGGGGTTGGGGGTAAGGGACACTGCGGAACCTTCCATGCCCCGCAACCTACCCCCTCCCGAAGCATCCAGAAGCCCCTCCCGCGCCTCGGTTTCCCCAAGTGTCGGCACCCACTGACCTGCCTCTCCAGAGGCAAGGGATCCATCCATATGTCAAAGCTCTTCGGGAATTAAAGCGCAGGTCCCCTCCAGGGGATGGTTGTTATTCGTGATAAAGATGGGCGAGGGCGAGGCTTTGCCCATATCGGGGCTCCCTTCTCGTTGGGAAAGGAGGGGACCCCGAAGCGAGGGCGCGATCGGTAACCCACATTATGCAGAGCAGGTAGGGGTGGACCGCGCGGCAGGCGCCTTCCTCCCCTCCCCGCCGCCCTGGGCCAGCTCCGCGCTGCCGCCGGGCAGCGGGCAGAGACCCGAGCCCGCTGGCCGACCTCGGGGCGGGGGGGATAGGGGGAGACGGGTCCCCTGGCACCTCTGGGGCAGCTCTTCGTCCCGCAGAAGGTCAGGAACCCTGCCCATCAGAGAGGCCGGGGGTGGGGGTGGGGGTAGGGGAGTGTCCCTGCCCGAAGTCCTTTGCACACTTGCTTCATTGTCAAGACAGGAAGACCCATGTTATGCGGCAAAGTGTCCGGCTGGTCCTGTCCAGCTGCTGTGTCTCCTTCATGCAACAACTTGAGCGTGACGTTTGACTAACATTATCATTAAAAAAAAAAACTAAGCTGAGGTTTTACATTTTTCTCTATATATATCCCAAGGCACTGCATTTTAATAGGAATTTGCCTCAATGCAGAATGCTCCCAACAGCAATGATAATGAATAAAAATAAGGACTCGTTCAGCAAATATTTATCGGGCCCCTTTGTTTTCAGTTCCTGCGCCCAATTGCATCACTTATTCTCCCAGCCATCCCTCTAGGGGACAAGGCTTACCCAGATTCTGGTTTAAAAATGAGGCACAGTGAACTTCAAGCTGAAGAGCTTAATAACTCAATCCACAGAGGAAATTAAGATGAACCTTTTTCTTCAGAAAAAGTGTTAAGCCTCTAAAAGTGTATTAATAGTACCTGACTAATTTGTCTGACAAATCTTAAAGGTACGCTTTCCTGATTCATTTTACCATCACAGCAAAATAATGTAAACTACCTATTTCAACAGTCGTGCATTAAAAAAAAAAAAATGTTTGCTTTTAACTAATCTATAGGGGTGGGGGGCTAAACTAAGCACTTTGCTATTGAATTACTTAAATACTTAATAATTACCACTAAGGGCCAGGCACTTTATTATCTCAATTAACAAATTGTTATTTCCATTTTAAAAAAAGTATGTTTTTAAATTCATTTCAGAGAGGGAGAGGGAGATGGAAACATCAATGATGCCTCTTACTGGGACCTGAGCCATAACTAGGAATCTCACCCTGACCTCCTGGTTCATAGGTCGATGCCCAACCATTGAGCCACATCGACGGGGCTGTTTTTTCCATTTTTCAGAGGTGACTTCTGAAGTCTGAAGCCACTGTCTAGATTCTGGCCATGCTGTCTTTGCTGGTTCCACTGTACCTCTCCTATCTCGGCAGGCCCACACTTCACCCTGTGGCTTATTGGTCAGTGATTCTCACTGTCTCACCTGACCCCCCACGTTAGTAGTTACTTATTTCTTAGTCTACGTTATTCTTGCAAACTATTAAATTGGGCATTTGGTAGCATAAACATCAAGTTATTTACAGCCCTTCAAACGAGGAGTCTGTTTTTTGTTTTGTTTTTCTAGAAAAGTGGTCTTTGTTTCAAACTTGTAGTTCACTTGGCGAGGCTTGCTGGGTCACGTGAACCAAAGGTTAGACACCAGGCGACTCCTCCCTGGTTTTGAAGTTTTACTATCAGGTGAATATTTTCAACCTTGATTATGTTCCTCTGAGGATCAGTTCATTTCTCCTGCCACTGTCAGATGGCCTCCTCATTGGTCTCCCTCTTTTCACTTTTGCCATCTGCAGTGTATTAGCCCTCAATGGCTGGAATGGTTCCCGAGAACATAGGGTTTGCCCTGAATGGTTTGGCTCGGTGGATGGAGCGTCGGCCTGCGGACTGAGGAGTCCCGGGTTCGATTCCAGTTGGGGGCAAATACCTTGGTTGCAGGCACATCCCCAATGGGAGGTGTGCAGGAGGCAGCTGATCGATGTTTCTCTCTCATCGATGTTTCGAACTCTCTCTCCCTCTCCCTTTCTCTATGTAAAAAATCAATAAAAAATATATTTAAAAAAAAAAAAAGAACACAGGTTTTGGTCATACGATCTTCACTATTCCCCCTGCCCCCAACTTCCCCTTTGCTCTTAGGATCAGACCCTCAGTCCTCACCATGGCCTCTAGGGCCCTGCTCACCCCCGTCCTCACTGTGCCTATTGGCCTCTATTTCCACCATGTGTCCTTACCACAAGGCCTGACTCAAAGGAGGTGTTCAGTGAGTGTTTGTGTTAGTGTCTGAGTCCCATAGGTATCCTTCATTGCAAAGAACCCTCATATAGCAGAACTGAGTTCAGAAACCTTAGGCAAGTGAGGGTTCTCTCCCCCGAGCCTCCATTTCTACATCTGTAAAACGGGAATGCGACCTTCTCATAAATGGTTGGGAAGGCTCCATGTCATAACGCCTTATGATAGGGCCCAACTCATAGTAAACAGTCAATAAGAGTCAGCTCTTCGTATCACTGCTGTTGAATACTGTTGCTAGGAGATCTAGGAGTTCCTGCCGATGGGTGTGTTTGTTGTAAGTATATATGAACACCTGACATACCGAGGAAGGAAAGACTGTTTTGAAACTTATCCTGGATGATTTATGTTACAGTTTCTAGGTACTAGACTAGAGCTGCAGAGTGGGGAGGAGCAGGTGCTAGACTTGTGCCTTAATGTATCCCCTGCACATGCCTGAAACAGAGAACTCTGTGGCCATGAGGGTGTGTGTGTGTGTGTGTGTGTGTGTGTGTGTGTGTAGGGTGGGGGGTTAACATGTGGCGTGGAAAAGGTGGTCTGAGCAGCGGCCCTCAAACCACGGTTCCCGTGAGAGTTTGGCACCTGCACACCTCTGCCCTGCCCACGTGACGGAGGACACTGTCTTGAATGATTCGTCCACCTGGGTGTCAGCGTGTCCCTTCACAATCCTCTTTCACTGCCCCCGTGGCCTCTTGGGCAGAGTCAGCGATCGGGAGGGTGGGGGCGGGATGGGATGGGGGAGCCCTGAAGGGTGCTAAAGCCTGAGCTGGTGTGAGAGGCTTTTCCTGAGCTGGGTCCTGCCATTTAACCCTATTCAGTCTTGTTTCTTTTTAAGGAGAGGGCAGCTACTCAAAGTGACAGCAGGTTGTTGAGTCTGTGGATGTTGGGAGGTGCCCTGGGTGGGGTATGCTTTTCACCCACGGGGACACTGAGGCCCTAGACCGGGAGTGTGACTTGGCCATGGTCTCAAACACCCCGGCCGGGCCTGGTGCCCTGGGAGAAACCCAATCCCTGCTCCCGGGTCATGACCCAAGTAGCCCGAGTGCGTTGCCCCAAGGTGCCTTGTTTACATCTGACTTTGCACAGATACAGGGACTCTTTGGCCTCGGCCCTCAGGCCCTGATGACTAAGGTAGAATGAGACAGGGCACTGAGCTCTGCGGAATGAGACACCACAGTTCCTGGAACTGCTGCCTGGCCAGTCCTGGGGTGGGGGTAGGGACAGGAGCCCCGGTGACTTGCTAAAATAACCCTTCTGCAGCGCCATTTGCTCCTCCCAGCTGTAATTTCCTCTTCTGTAACCCGGATGGGTAGTGGCTGGGAGTGTAGGAACCCATTTCTAGTTCTGAGAGCTTGGGCCACCTCCTCAGGTCTCTGGTCCTCAGTTTTCCCGTCTGTGAGAACGAGATAACCATATCTGTCTTCCGAGGGTTTGTGAGGTTTGAAGGAGGTAGTCTGGGCAAGAAAAGCACCCAGCAAACTTCCCGTTAGAACCCTGGCGCGCGCGCTCTCTCTCTCTCTCTCTCTCTCTCTCTCTCTCTCTCTCTCTGGCGCCCGGGTTTCTCACTTTCCATTCCGTGGCCTTGGGTCAGCCCCTCGCCTCCCTTGAGCCTCAGTATCCTCCTCGCAAACGGGTTTGCACAGGACCTGCGCCCATGGGCTCGGGAGAGGGACTGAGTGCCCACTAAGCCGCCCCATGCGCCCGGGCCCGGGCCCGCCGGGCTGATCGCGCTTTGCACGGCCGGGTCTCCCGGAACACTGGGGGCGGGCGGGCGGGCGCGGGCGGGCTGTCACGATCGCGTTTCCCACCCGGTGCCCGGCGAGTGGCGGAGGACGGCGCGAGGGGGCGCGCCCGAGCCGGGATCCGCCGCCCCGCGCGGCCGGCCCGCCTCCTCCCTCCGCGCCGAGAGCCCCGGCGCCGCCCCCGGCCCCTCCCCGCGCCGGGCGCCGGACGGTGGGCGGCGGCGGCGGCGAGCGGGCGGGCGGGCCGCGGAGGAAGCGCCGCCAGCGCCTCCTTCCCTGCGGCCTGGGTCCCGGGCCGAGGGCGCGCGGTGCGGGGCCTGCCTCGGGGCCATGGGGGAGGGGGGCGCCGTGGGGCGCCGCCGGCCCTTCCCCGGGGCGCCGCGGCGGCGCTGGTGGCGGCGGCAGCAGCAGCAGCAGCGGCAGCGGCAGCGCTGGTGGCCGGGCCGCGCCGCCATGGGCCTGGCGGGGCTGCAGGTGGGTGTGTCGGGCCCGGCCGCGCGGGGGGCGGGCGGGCGGGCGGGCGGCGCGCGGGGCCCGGCGGGAGGGCGACGCGGGCCCCGGCCGGCCGGCCCCTGCCTCCCGGCGCCGCGGGCGGCCCGCCGCCGCCGGGCCCTCGGAACATGGCTGCGGCCCGGGCGGCCCCGCTCCCCGCCCCGCCGCGCCCTGAGCGCCCCTCCCCGCTTCCCCGGGTCCCCCTCTCCAGGCAGGAAGATGTCCAAGCCCCGCGCGGTGGAGGCGGCGGCGGCGGCGGCGGCGGCGGCGGTGGCAGCGACGGCCCCGGGCCCGGACATGGCGGAGCGGAGGGGCCCGGGGAGGCCCCGCGCCAACGGGGTAAGCAGGACCCTCCCCGCACTCGCTCGGCCCCGCGCCCCGAGCACGTGGGCTGCCCCGCGCCCCCGCCCGCCGCCCCGGGGCCGGGATGCGGGCGGGACGCCCGGCCGGGCGGCTTCCTTTCCGCGGCCTGCCTGGGAGTGGCGCCCACACCCGCTCCGCCATGACCCCGGCGGTCTCCGACCTCGGAAAAGTTTGTGTCTTTACGGCCTTTCCACCCGAGACCCGGCTGCCCCGGCGGTGGCCGCCTCCCCAGGGGTGCGGGGCCTACCTGGGCCTCGCCGAGCCGGGGTTTCAGGGCTCCCCAGGCGGAAAGGCCCCCGCAGGGTTTCTGGGGAAACCCCCCTCCCGTCTGCTTACTCACTGGAGGCCCCAAACCCAGAGGCACCAGCCGGTGCCATTTGCAATAGAGGGGCCGCCCTAAGTGTGCTGGCGTGGGGCCCTGCTTTTATGAGCTCTCCACCCCCCACCCACCAGAATCTGCCCCCCACCCACCCAGATACCCCGGGAATCCTTCCACCTGCAGCCAGCCCCAGGTCCTGGGAGGTGCTGGGCCGCCAAGCTTGGGCACTCACAAGGCTCAGGCAGGAGTGCGAGTCCTCCCAGCTGACCTTGGGGCCCAGAGGTGGTTCATCAGGTTCCCTGAGGCCTGCAGCTCCTGCCAGAGTTAGTCCCTGCTCCCTGCCCCGTGGCCGCAGGCCTTTCAGCGTCCGCATTTCCAACCCAGCGTCCCTGCTAGGGTAGATGGACTCCTGCTTATGCAGACCTTTGTGTGCAGCTGGTCCTCAGGCCAGCCAGGTGTCCCCTTAGAGACCACACGTGCTCACCAAACGGCCAACTGGGACCTGGGAGAGCTGCAGCCTTCCACTGCTCCCCCGGGGCTGGCCCCCCGGCCGCCCTGCCTGGGGAGATGATGGTGCCGGGTTCTTTGTCTTTGGCGGCCTCCTCGCTCCTTCTCCGCTGAATGCGGTGGCGTCTTCTCCTCCCAGCCTCTCAGAATGCGCGTTTGTCGTTCTAGGAGAATGTGTTCACCGGGCAGTCCAAGATCTACACCTACATGAGCCCGAACAAATGCTCTGGAATGCGTTCCCCCCTTCAGGAAGAGAACTCAGTTGCACATCGCGACGTCAAATGCCAGGGGAAGCCATTAGCCGGGATCTACAGGAAACGGGAAGGTAAGCCTGGGAAACAGCCCTGCGCCGGCCACAGCGGGCGTGGGCCACCGAGGCCTCTGTCCTCCATAATTATGCGTCTCTGCTAGGTTTTCATCCAGCCTTTTCATACCCAAGTGGGGAAGGAGCCACGTTCTGTCTTGCTGCTAAGAAACAGCAGACACAGGGGAGCCGGCCGCCTCTCCCAGGGCGCGTGCCCTGTCGGCCTAACAGGTTCTGCCGCTTTCACAGGGGTTGGCGTGTCCTTCGGGCTTGATTAACTTGCTAGATTGCAGAAATAAGGCCCCTGATTTGCAAGGAAAGAGGCGCACAGGTGCCGAATGTGCAGAAATTAGGAGTCTGGCTTGTTCAGAGCAGCCGCTCGCAGGCCTGACTGTTGTGTGAGCACCAGGCCCTGACTTCCTTCCCTTTCGTGAGCTGGCCTTGACCTCCTTTCTAAAGTTTCTTTCCATTCAAAGTGTTCAGAGCGCCTCTCACGCAGCATAACCTTCAGTGAGTTTAAATATTGAACCAGAAAAGTGTATGGTTAGTGAAAATTCTGCCTGGACCCGGACCCTCAGAACAAGCCGAAATCCTATTCTAATCCAAACATCCGCTTTCCCCGTGGCATTGGGGAGTGTGCGCGTGTCCCAGGTCACCACGCTCCCTCCCTTCTGGTAACAGAGCTCTGACCACCGGCAGCTCCATGTTAACAGAAAGCACCGCAAATGGTGGGTTAGCCCAGGCTCTGGTGCCAGAGCTGAGAACCAGGGGCAGGAGCCAGCCCAGTCTCTATTTTATTTTTTTATTTTATTTTACTTTTTAAAATATATTTTATTGATTTTTTTTTTTTTTTTTTTTTTTTTTTTTTTTTTTTTACAAAGAGAAAGGGAGAGAGATAGAGAGCTAGAAACATCGATGAGAGACATCGACCAGCTGCCTTCTACACATTCCCCTACTCGGGATGTGCCTGCAACCAATGTACATGCCCTTGACCGGAATTGAACCCTGGACCCTTCAGTCCGCAGGCCGACGCTCTATCCACTGAGCCAAACTGGTTTCGGCTATTTTATTTTTTTTAAATATATTTTTATTGATTTAAGAGAAGAAGAGAGAGGGAAAGAGAGAAACATCAATGATGAGAAAGAACCATTGATCAGCTGCCTCCTGCACACCCTTCCTCCCCCTTCCCCACTGGTGGCCAGGCCCACAACCCGGGCATGTGCCCTTGACTGGAATCGAACCTGGGACCTTTCAGTCTACAGCTTGACGCTCTATCTACTGAGCCAAGACAGCTAGGGGCTGTGCTATTTCGTTGCTCTTCAGATGACCTGGGTTCTCTCCCTCATCTATCAGTCACGTGGAGGAGGCTCGGGCAGATGGCTCTAAAGTGGGAGAATGTGGCTGCTCTGAAGATCAGTTAAAGCACGGATGCTCCCTCCGACAGTCCTTCCTCTGCGGGACCTCCAGCGTCCCAGCCTGCCCCTCCCTGTGTAGCCAGCGCTTAGGGTGGCCGCGGCCCCACATAGGAATGGGCAGAGGGGTTCTTGCTACGTGTGGTCAGCCTGTCTCATGTCCCTCCCGGGATGGTGCGAGAGTAAATGGTTCTCAGTGGTGACCCAACACACAAGCACGTGTGTGTGGCTCATAGTGTCACTAAATGGCAGCGAACAGAATTTGGGGCCAGATATTTACTCCTGACTTTCAGCCTTGGTATGAGAGCCGGTGTCCCCGAGCTCCCTGCTCCTGGCCTCACCTCCCTCCAAAGCCCGTAAGAGAGCGGCCTGGAGGGGGTTCGCTGTGTATATTTTTCCATCACCAAAGAAACCCAGGATTGGTAGTCACACTCCATTCCTCCCTCCTCTAGCCCCAGGCAACTGCCGGTCTGCTTCCTGTCTCTGTGGACTTGCTTGTTCTGGACATTGCCTGTAAATGGAATCATATAACACGAGGCCTTTTGTGCCTGGCCCCTTTCCCGCAGCGTTTTTAAGATTCATCCATGCTGTTGAGTGGATCAGTACTTTACTTATTTATTTTAATATATTTTATTGATTTTTTACAGAGAGGAAGGGAGAGGGATAGAGAGTTAGGAACATTGATGAGAGAGAAACATCCATCAGCTGCCTCCTGCACACCCCCAACTGGGGGCGTGCCCGCAACCAAGGTACATGCCCTTGATCGGAATCGAACCCAGGACCCTGCAGTTCGCAGGCCGACGCTCTATCCACTGAGCCAAACCAGTTAGGGCAGTACTTCATTCTTTTATGTGACTAAATAATATTCCCTCATGTGGCTAGACCACGTTTTATTTATTGAACCAGAAAAGTGTCCATCAGCTGATGGACATGTGGGAGGCTTCCACTTTTGGCTATTCTGAACAAGCTGCTATAAACACTCATCTACAGGTTTTTATGTAGACACATGTTTTCAATTCTTTTCATAGATGCCTAGGAGTGGAATTGCTGAGTCAGGTGGTAACACAATGCTTAACTTTTTAAAGAACTGCCGGCCCCTTACGCAGCATTTTACATTCCTACCACCTGTGTATTGTTTACTTTTAAAAAGTTAATTATTTTATTGTTGAGAGCATTATAGATGTCCCCCTTTATTTTAAAAATATTTTTACTTATTTATTTACTTTGACATCTCTTTATTGATTAGGGAGAGGGAGAGAGAGATGGAAACATCAGTGATGAGAGAGAATCATTGACCGCCTGCCTCCTGCACACCCCCACCCAACTGGGGATCGAGCCTGCAACCCGGGCCTGTGCCCTGACTGGAATGGAACTGTGACTTCCTGGTTCATAGGTCGATGTTCAGCCGCTGAGTCATGCTGGCCGGTATAACTTATTGATTTTAGAGCGAGAGGAGGGAGAGAAACATCTATTTGTTCTTCCATTTATTTATTTACTCGTTTATTGATTCTGATTGGCGATCAAACCTGTACCCTTTACATATCAGGACGACGCTCTAACCAACAGAGCCACCAGCCAGGGAAGTCAATGGCAGCTCAGTAATGCTAAGGACCAAAAGCTCTGCCAGGGCCTCACCTGGAAGCCATTCGTGGGCATGGGGCTTGGCAGGCGAGGGCGCACACCCACGACCTCCTCTTTCTCAAAGCCCCCCTTCGAATGCAGCTGGGGGTCTAATGGGGCGCCTAGAACAAACCTCTCTCCCCCCTCCTCCTGCAGAGAAAAGAAACACTGGGAACGCACTACGAAGCTCCATGAAGTCCGAGGAACTAAAGATCAAAGACGCCAGGAGAGGTCCCCTGGCACCTTTTCCAAACCAAAAATCCGAAGTAGCAGAACCTCCAAAAACTCGGACCTCGTCTTGTGACTCCTCCGGTGCCGCCATCGCCAAGCAGGCCCTGAAGAAGCCCGGCAAGGGCAAGCAGGCGCCTCGGAAAAAGTAGGCGCCTCCCTCCCCCGCCCCCCATTACCCCGCACGCCCTGCAGCTTGGTTTCCCTGGCCTCGGGGAGCTGGTCAGGGCTAAGCAGGCCACCCCCTCCCAGCTTCACACACTGAGGCCACGCCCCTGAGTCACCCCCCAGGGACCCCATCCTTGGCCAGCATCCTGGTCTGCCATGTGTGCAAAGCTCATGAGCCCTCCCCTCCCCCACGTGGCGCCCCCTCCATCCCCCTTCCCCCCCCCCCCCCCCCCCCCCCCGCAGAGAACAGCCACTTCTGATACTCCCTCTGCGGTCCCCACGGGCATGGGAGCCTGTGGCCACAGGCTGCGGAGCACACAGGTGTCTAAGCACCCTGGTTTCCAGGGAGCCGCCCCTCAGGAGCTGGGTGCCCCCCTGGGTGCCAATGTGGTTTTCTCTTTCCCCTCCCCCACAGAGCTCAAGGGAAAACGCAACAGAATCGCAAACTCACAGACTTCTACCCTGTGCGAAGGAGCTCCAGGAAGAGCAAGGCCGAGCTGCAGGTAGAGTCCCTGGTTTTAATTCCAGCTCTGGGGGGGGCAGGGCTGCCCAGTGGGCAGTGCTCAGCATGTGGATCCGAGCTCTCTGTGTGTCTCCGGGGGCACGTCTCTGCTTCTGTGGCTGTGGTATCCTCCAGTGTTCTCTTTGGCCCGCTGGGGGTTTTTCTGACTCTCTGGATGGTTAAGAGGCCTCGGAGCCTGTGGCTTGGGAGCCACTTACTGGGTGTATCTACTCCGGCCAGGAACTTAGGCACTCTGTGCCTCGGCTGCCCTGTCTGTGAAATGGGGTAACGGAGCATCTTAGTGGGTAGCTGGGAGGATTAATCGCCTTCACACACACAGAACAATCAGAACCAGGCCTGGCACACAGTAGGTGCGGTGTCTCCCCGGCCTCGTCCCTTCCCAGGCTCCTCTCTGCTCTCGGCCACGCAGCCACGGTCCCTGAGCCCCTGTGAAAGCGGCAGGCTGGCCAGCTGGCCCGGGCCTCCGCCCGCTGAGCTGGCAGATGCCGAGCTGTGCGGCCATCCAGTGGGTTAGTATCTGATGCAGTGGGTGTGGCTACTGCCTTCCTGAGGGGGACAGCCGGGCGTGCTCTGGCCCCGCTCCACTCGGACCCCTGAGCAGAGGGGAGCTGGGACCCGGCAGCCCCTGCGCTCTCACACCCACAGCCCCCGGAGGGAAGAGGGGCTGAGGATTGCCGTCCCACTGAGAGGTGGGGGCCCCAGCTGCAATAGTCAGGCATTTTTATGTCAAACCTCCACGTACAGAGAAGGTAATTGGTATTTTCACTGCATTGATGAGGCTCCTTTAAAAGAAAAACAAAATAAGGGTTCCACTTTCCCCTCCGGAGAGAAGCCTTGGCTTGGTTTCCTGAGAAAGGCAGTGTCTCTCGGCCAAGAAGGAGCTGTTGTGAGATGTTTGCCTGCAGTGGGAGGCCGCGCTGGGTCACCGTGAAAGACGGCATTGCAGAGGGCGAGGCGGTGCCAGCCCGGCACGCAGACGCCTCCCCGTGCGGTCGGAGCTGCAGTGTGCCCACGGGGAGGCCGCGGGCTGCAGGGTGGGGCGCCGAGTTGGCCTTAATGTCTGTCTGGGGGGGTGAAGGCCGCTGCGGGCCGGGCTGTGGTGCTTGTCTGCCGAGCCTGGCACCGGGCGTGCAGAGGGGAGCGGGCGCTGGCTTCCCCGAAGCCTGGCCCACAGCAGGTGGATCTGCTCAGTCCCGGGTCCGAGAGCCACGCTGGGTCCCTCGTGTTCCCGTTGGTGCTGCTGAGTGAGCGCCATGGCCAGTGGCGGCTGGCTGGGCGGTGGGCCAGCGTGGTGTCTTGCTCTGCCTGCCCTTCCCTCTGGGCAGCAGAGCCTGGGGCCTCGGTGGGTGAGCCGTAGAGAGGGTGTGGGGAGACAGCGGTGAAACAGATTAAAAGCCTGGCAGCCACGTCACTGAGTCTGAAGACTGGGCAGGGCCGGTCCAGGGTCCAGGCAGGAGGGTGGGAACTGGGCCTTCGAGACGCCCCAAACCCGGTGCTGGTTGGCCTGGTTGTGGGTGGGGTGACGGCCAGCACTGGGGCAGGGACTGTGCTGGTTGGCAGTGCCCTGGCTTCATGCCCAGCCCAGCCCTGGCCTGCTGTGCACACACAGCTTGCAGACTCCAGTTCAGGGATGGCTCCTCCTGCTCAGTCTGCCCGTGGGACCCTGTGGCCCAGGGAGCCTCAAGTTGGTTGGTTGTGGCCCCAAACCATGCGGCCTTCACAGTGAAACTCGGACGCTTTGGCTCTGCATTCAAGGCACTGAGCTGGTCTAGTTTTCCTCAGCTCTCCTCCTCGGCCATGTTCCCACCGCAGGAACATCCCATCCGCTGCCTGTTCCTGCGGGCACTCCCACTGACTCAGCCCTTCGCCTCTCGTCCCTGGGCTGCATGCTTATCAGCTAATGATTCCAAGTGGGGTGTGTGTGTGTGTGTGTGTTGGTGTGTTGTTGCTCTGAGGGCTTCCTAATGTGCCAGGCTCTGTTCTGGGCCAGGAGACTCCAGTGAACCAGCCCAGTGCTCATGGAGCTTATGAACACGTAACCAAAGAGCAAGATGACTTGGGCCAGCGCTTTTGCGTGAACAAACAGAGTATCTGATAGTCAGCCAGGCCAAGGCTCCACTGGCCACAGTCGTCAGGGAGATTTCTCTCGGAGGAGCCTTGGGGGTTTGGGGGGCTTGGAAATCCCTGGGGACCGATGTCATGGAGGCCGACTGTGGGTGACCCTGTGGCTGGTCCAGAGCGGCCTGGGAGGAAGGCTGATGCGCCTGTTTTCTCCCCAGTTTGAAGAAAGGAGAAGAATAGACGAATTGATCGAAAGTGGAAAGGAAGAAGGCATGAAGGTAAGGTGGCGGGCTGTGGGCCAAGGTCACAGTGACCCCTCATTGCTTAGTCCTTTCGTGGCTACTGACGAGCAGCACTGTTAGTTGTCAAGGGTGAGACTCATGCGGAAACATAGTGGACTCTGTGAAATGTTAGCCCAAGGAAACGTTTTTAAAATTACGGTGAGCCCCAGCCGGTTTGGCTCAGTGAATAGAGAGCATCAGCTTGTGGACTGAAAAGTCCCGGGTTCGATTCTAGTCAAGGGCACATGCCCAAGTTGCAGGCTCGATCCCCAATAGGGGGTGTGCAGGAGGCAGCCGATCAATGATCTCTCATCATTGATGTTTCTCTCTCCCTCTCCCTTCCTCTCTGAAATCGATAAAAATATATTGAAAAAAATTTTTTTAAATATATATATATTTTTTGTGAAATACGTATAGCATAAAGTTTAGGGTTTTAGCCATTTCAGAATGCACCATTAAGTGGCATTGAGTGCATTCACAGTGTTGTGCACTGATTACCCCTGTCCACTTCCGAACCTTTTTATCTTCCCAAACGGAACTGGAAACCCCGTCCCCATTAGCTGGCGGCCCCAACCCCTGGCACCCACCAGTCAGCTTTCTGTCTCTCTGGACCCGCCTGTGCCGGACAGTCCTACGGACGGGATTGTAGGATAGGGAGCTGCTGTGTCTGGCTTCCTCTATTTAACACCATGTCTAGGGACACTTTGAAAAGGAGAAACAAATACATTTTTCCTAAACTCTGTTTTCGCCCTAGCCGGTTTGGCTCAGTGGATAGAGCATTGGCCTTTGGACTGAAGGGTCCCAAGTTCTATTCTGGTCAAGGGCACGTGCCAGGGTTTCGGGCTTGATCCCCAGTAGAGGGTGTGCAGGAGGCAGCCAATCAATGATTCTCGCTCATCATTGATGTTTCTCTCTCCTCCCTTCCTCTCTGAAATCAACAAAAATATGATTAAAAAAAAAAAATTAAACTGTTTTCCTGGGAAGTGGCAATGCGCAAGAAACTTGCTTTTCTACTGGTATTTTCTATCACATTTGGGTGGATGAGAGGAGAGGAAGTCTGGTAGCCAGATGGTCTGGGCAGAAAGCTATAGTCCACCATGTAGGGAGATCTGGACGTAAGCCCCTGAAGGAGAGACTCAGCGCTGGGTCCTCCTGCTCCCCCCAAGAGGCTCGCTGCGTGGGTCTGAGTCCGGGCTACACCGCTTCCTGGCCACACGGCGTGGACGTGGGTCTGCCCCCTCTGAGCCTCCGTTTTCTCACCCGCAAAATGGGCCACACCCACCCAGCAGATTTCTCAGGAGACGCAGGACCCTGCTTTGCAAACAGGTACAAGGGGGCCTTCTGAGGTGCTGGGTCGTGGCGATAGTTGCACCCCTGTGTGCACTTTAATGTGCTTCGCACTGAACTCGGCGCCATCCCTCACGAAAGCTGTTCACACGAAGGCAATCCTGGGCCTCCCGGGCCGGCCTCGCCGCGGCACCTCTGGCTGTTACGAACTCACCCTCTCGCTCATCGCCTCCCAACAGATCGACCTCATCGACGGCAAAGGCAGGGGCGTGATCGCCACCAAACAGTTCTCCCGGGGCGACTTTGTGGTGGAGTACCACGGGGACCTCATCGAGATCACCGACGCCAAGAAGCGGGAGGCTGTGTACGCGCAGGACCCCTCCACCGGCTGCTACATGTACTATTTCCAGTATCTGAGCAAAACCTACTGGTAAGTCCCCGGCTGCTGCCGAGGCCAGGAACACCTGGTCCCGTGGCTCTGGCTTCCTGTGGTTCTGGCTGCCTTTTCTCAGCTGTGAAGCCACTCTCCCCCACCCCCTCTCGTTTTCCAACTTTGGAGCAGGCTCGGGCTGGTCACGTGGACACTGCTCCGAGGCTCACCTGCCGCCTCTCGGGGCATTGGGCCAGGGCGGCGCTGGAGATGGCTGGCTGCTCCATTCTCCAGATGGCCCTGCAGGGGATTGCTTTTTGTTGTGGGTTGTTTTCTAACAGACGATTTTTTTAAATTTATTTTTAAAAAATACATATATTTTATTGATTTTTTACAGAGAGGAGAGAGAGTTAGAAACATTGATGAGAGAGAGTCATCGATCATCTGCCTCTTGCACACCCCCTACTGGGGATATGCCCGCAACCAAGGTACATGCCCTTGACCGGAATCGAACCCTGGACCTTGAGTCCGCAGGCCGACGCTCTATCCACTGAGCCAAACCAGTTTCGGCTAACAGACGATTTTTTAGAGCAAGTTTAGGTACCAGCAAAACCGAGGGGAAGGTACAGAGAGTTCCCATCCCCCCCCACACACACACACACACACACACACGGCCCCCCTCAGTCCCGCACGGCTGACTTGTATTCATTTCTCAATTGTGCCGAACTCTACAGTTGCCTCCGGAGCTTCCACAAAGAGCCCTTTGCATTCCTGTCTCCTCCCACCCCTGCCAGAGACACCCCACCCGCAGCCTCTCTAGGCTCTTGAGATTTTTTTTTATTTTATTTATTTATTTTTTTTAGTTGAATTGTTTTCCCAAAAGGCGTGGCCATAAATTGCCATCCTACCAGAGCTGAGGGCATGGGGGACTCCGGCTGGCTGGGTTCAAAAGCCTCTTTATCAACCTAACAACCCTCCGTTGCCCCCCCCCCTCCCCCCCCCGCCAGCGTGGATGCCACCAGAGAGACAAACCGCCTGGGAAGGCTGATCAATCACAGTAAATGTGGGAACTGCCAAACCAAACTGCACGACATCGACGGCGTGCCTCACCTCATCCTCATCGCCTCCCGCGACATCGAGGCGGGCGAGGAGCTCCTGTACGACTACGGGGACCGCAGCCGGGCCTCCATCGAGGCCTACCCCTGGCTGAAGCATTAACGCCCGCCCCCCCCCCGTGGACAAAGTGCCCTCAAAGGGAATTGATTTTTTTTTTTTTACACACACTTACTATTAGCAGATTACTTCAGATGTTTTTAAAAAAGTATATTAAGATGCCTTTTCACTGTAGTATTTAAATATCTGTCACAGGTTTCCACAGCGGACTTGAACAGATGGCCTTATATTACCAAAACTTTTATATCCTAGTTGTTTTTGTACCTTTTTTGCATACAAAGCCGAACGTTTGTGCTTCCCGCGCTCGCTCGCGTGCATGCAGCCAGGCCCGGCGCAGGTCTCAGAGGAGAGAGCCTTCCAACCGGAGCCCAGGAAGCGGGGGGGCCACGGAGCCAGGCCTCTCCCCCGCACCCCGAACGCGCGCCCGGGTGCCGAGCGGCACAGGGCGGCCACGCCGGCGCCCGCCGACCTCCCGACGGCCCCCACGGGATGTCCCCAAGCTCTTGTTCTCCTGCCGTCCGGACAGGCGCGCACGGACGTGTACGACTATTTTTTAAAAAGGGTTTCGCAGTAAGTTCGTCTTCCCCTCTGCTTTCCCGAAAGCTCGCTGGCCCAGCGCCCGTGGGCGCGGGCCGGGCCCCGGCTTCCTCTTCCACGGGCTGCCGCACCCCCGGGCCCCTCGGAGCATCGGGGCGGGCGAGGAGCAGGTGCGGGCAGGGAGAAGCACTGCTCAGCCGGCCCCGTCAGGGCAGCGCTTCCCGAAACGGGGGTATAATTCTTTATAGAAATGTGAACACTGAATTTATTTTAAAAAAATAATAAAAATCAAAAAAACACAAAAGGCAAAAAAAAAAAAAAAAAAAAGAGAAAAACCACAGAAAACAACTTACATGTACATAGGTCATACAGTGAGTGGAGTGGCTGCGTTTTTTTCTTTTTTCTTTTTTTTTTTCCTTTTTACTTTGGGTTTTGGTTTTTTTTGTTTTGTTTTTTGTTTTTTTTATAGAAGAGATTTGAGATGGTACTCTATTCTAATAAAAAATAAAGTTTTGTAGTGGGACCAGAAATTACTTATCCAATTCTCCCCCCCCAACATAGCCACCCTCACCCCCAACCCTGTGACCCGATTCTGCCGGGTTGAAAGGTCCAGACCTGCTGTCACGCTGTTAGTCAGACCACCTGGCGTTCTCCCTGCACCACGCAGACCGCGCAGCCGGGAACCGAGGGTGAGCCCACGAGCCCTGGAGTGCAGGCCCCACCCCACGGGGAGGGGGCAGGTGCAGCACCCAGGGATCAAGGCTAATTGACTGCGATGCCTGTGACGGCAGGCGGCGTAGGTAGCTGCCCCCTCCCGCCCGAAGGGGGACCAATGCTCACTCTGTCCACCTGCGGTCCGGGGGGCCTGCGCTCTGGAACCACCACCTGGGGTCCCCGGACCCCCTGGTCCCAGGTAAATGTGAACGGAGACAGGTGTGAGAGCCTGTGCTCGACCTTGGTGCCCCCCCAGCCCCCCGCCCCACGCACCCCAGCCTCACGACGGTGCTACCTAGGAAAGTCTTCCCCCCGCCCCACACTTGCCTGGTCAGAGGTCAGCCAATTGGAGGAGGATCCGACGGAGCGTGTCAATGTGAAGTAAAATGTCTCGGTTGTACCTGTTTGTGGTTTAGCTTTGTATTTAAAAAAAAAAAAAAGGAAATAAACTTGAAAATTATTTGTCACCATAAAAATGAAACAAAAATTAAAATATTTATTGCCAGGCGAGGCCACCTGTGTGTGTGTTTCTTACGAGGGAGGGGTGGGTTTTCGGGGTTTTGCCGAGAGTCACCACCCCCCCCCCCCCCAGTCGTCGGTTTCAGTGCATGTCCCCCTGAGGGAGGTCGCGGAGCCCGAAGACAGGTTTGTGCCCGGCACGCAGTGTGCACACACAAGCCTGTGGTGGTCGCTGAAGGCCTGGGTTTGGTGTGGGACCAGCCGCGCTGCCTCGCGCTGCGAGGCCCTCCGTGGGCCGTGGGTTCGCACAGCAGGCGGGACTGGGCGGCGGCCTTGGTTTCCCAGCAGGACACGCTTCCAGCACCGTCTGCGAGGGGGGGTCAGCGGCCCCCCGACAGGTCCTCTGAAGCCTGTCTGAGTGGGAGCCGCCTCTGCCTGCCTGCTCTGCGGGGCTCCTGGGGGTACACTCCGTGGACTGTTAAAGCCTCGGCTTGGAGGTCAGCGGTGCAGTTGGGGTTCAGGGATGTCAGGCTGTTGCCGCCCATGGAGGCTGGGTCTGCCCGGGGAGGACAGACCTCGACTGGACTCCACACTCAGTCCCAGGAGCCGCCCCTCCCCCTCTCCTCTGCTCTCGCCGTCCCTCGGTCTGGCCCAGGGGGTTCTGAGGTCAGGACTCAGATTTGTTCCCCAAGTTGGCCCTCACCTCCGAGGTACAGGAATCCCCCCCAACACTCAGAGGGGAGCACCCAGTCCGGGTGGCGGTGTCCTGCAGAGTTCGGAGTTGGGGCCTTGACCTGAGACTGCTGAGATGGCATCCTTGACCAGACTCTGAAAGGTGGCAGACTTTTCTCAGGAGGCCAAGGGGTTGAGCCTGGGCTGGGAAGTCTGCACCTGAGCCCCTTTCCCATCACTTTCGAGCGGGCACCTTGGCCAAGTCCCTCAGCCCCGCAGTGCCGGGACCTAGGCAGCCGTGGGAATAACCACCCGGCCCGCAGGGGTGCTCGGACGGCGCAGGCCAGGCCTGCCACGGATTGCGTTTGTGATTCACGTCGGTGATTTTCGGAGAACTGGGCTTGCACAGCTCCTCGGAAAGAACCAGGCCTTAGGCATTTACGTCCTGGGCAGCCACCTCCTCGCTCCATGACCTGTGACCTACGTTAGCCTCTCGGAGTCTGAGTTTCCAGTTCTGTAAACGGGGAGGGGGGGTGAAGGGATGGAGGAGGAGGTCCCTGCAGCAGTGCGCCAGCGGCCTTTACCAAGGACATCGCTCCCCGGGCTCATTCATTTCTCTGCCAAGGGCAGGCACCCACTCCCCGTACCCTGTATTTCGTCAATTCCTAAATGTACATCTTTTTCGCACTGAACATCTCTGTAATCGGAATGAGCCTTAAAATCCATAGTGCCTCCAATGTTATCATCTGTAGCGTTTTCTCTCTCACACCGACACACAGAATTGTGGTATACCGCTTAGATTCAATGCACCAGATACACCAGATATCCACACACACACAGCTGACAGACGTGGAAACCAAGACCCTACCTTACACAAGGTCACGCAGGCTAAGAGACAACTCTAAAATACTTAGAGCAGGGAAGTCGTTTTACTTGAATATAAAAATCTCCTCGTAAAGAAAGTCAGGTTACCGAAGTCAGATAGTCACTGAATGTCAGTGAAGTCCCCGGGAGGTCGATACCGCACTCTCCAGCTTTCTCCCCTCTCCCTTTGGGCTGGTGCGTGGCTGCTAGGGCTGCTACACAGTGAAGATCAAGGTCAAGTGTGAGACCGGAGAGGCAGAGCCTGAGATCCTCGACGGCTGGCGTGGGCAGGTGTGGCCCCTGCACTTTCCTTCTGCTTTCGTGTTTTCTTTTCTTTTTGTTTTGTTTTGTTTTTCCTGTTGTGTTTTTTTCTCCTTCGGCTTTCTTTCCTTTTTTTTTTTTTTTTCTTTTCCTTCTGCTTTCTTGGTTTCTGGGTGCCACTTGCCCTGCCCTGGCCAAGCCTTCGGGGGGGGGGGGGGGGGGTCCAGTTCGGCAGCCAGGGAGACAGGGATCGAGAGAGAACCTCACCTCCTCGCTCCTCGGACGGCGTCGAGGGGAGACACATGAGCGAGGGCAGTGGGTCCGGAGGCCCTGAGCAGGCTGGGAAGCCTTCCTGGTGGGTTGTCTTCTAGGATCTGAGAACTGCCGCCTTACGTCTATGGCTGCTTCCCAGACCGGAAGGAGAACCTGGGCGGAGAGAGGGGGTCAGAGGGAGCAGACAAACAAGGCAGGGGCATCGGGCCCACTAACCATTGGGCATACGAACAGATGGCCTCCGCCACCTTTTTTTTTTTTTTTTTTTTTTTTTTTATTTTAGGTGGTTTTTATTGCAGAGGAAGCATTAGCTTCTCAATGCTACCTACGACTGTAAAACGGGTCTTAGCAAAAAACAGAGACTACCTGTGAACTCTTGGATAAGACATAAACCACACAAAGCTATCATCTGAATACCAGACTTTCGGTGTTTTCCTGCCAAGTTTGGAAAAGGAACAATGATGTCTGGGGTTGTCGGGAAAGCACAATCTGGGCGCTGTTTCCATTTATGAGAATGTAGCAAAGATCGCCAGGGTTGGGGGTGGCAGGGGAGGGGGAGGCTGCGAGGTCAGGACGGGATCTAGGCTCTTGCTTCTTGTCAAAGAAGAACTTCCTGAGTGCTGCTGGCAGCCCTGCCAGCAACGGCTGGTGTGAGCCCTGAGCTGGTCTGGATCCAGGCCCCAGGGCTCTGCCATCCTCCCCTCCCCGCCCCAGTGCCTTCTCTCAGGAAGTGACATCATCCCTGCCCAGTCATTGGAGCCAGGAACCTGGGAGTTTTTCTCAAGGCCCCCCCGCGCCAGCCCCCGCATCTGCTATAATACATTTTAGTCACTGTGCTCCAAATATGCCCCTAACCCCACCACGTTCATCTCCCCCACTGCCACCCCCAGTCCAGACCTCAGCAGCCTCCCTGCCGCCCCTACAATCCATGCGTAGCAACCAAATGTCTCTGTCACTATGCAGAGCTGTCTTCCCCCGGCTTCCGCCCTTCCATGGCTCCCCATTGGTTCCATCCACTGAACAAAGACAAAAATCCAAATACTGTGTGATTCCACTAAGATGAGGTGCCTAGACTCATTAAATTCATAAGGTCAGAAAGTAGAATAGCCAGCCAGTGTGGCTCAGTGGTTGAGCGTTGACCCAGGAACCAAGAGGCAGCCGGCTGTCTCACGGTCAGGGCACATTTCTGGGTTGGAGGCTCGATCCCCAGTAGAGGTTGTGCAGGAGGCAGCCCATCAGTGATGTTCCTCTCTCATTGATGTTTCTATCTCTCCTTTTCATTCCTCTCTCTCATAATCAATAAAGACATTTTTAAAAAGAAAGTAGATTGGTGGTTGCCGGGGCCTGGAAGAAGGATGAATTGATGAGTTGGTGTTTATTTATTTATACTTTATTTTTATAATCTTTTTTTATTGGTATCAGAGAGGAAGAAAGAGGGAGAGAAACATCAATGATGAGAGAGAATCACTGATTGGCTGCCTCCTACACCCCCCCCACGGGGCATTGAGCCCTCAACCTGGGCATGTGCCCCCAACCGAAATCAAACCCAGGACCCTTGAGTCCACAAGCCAACACTCTATCCACTGAGCCAAACCAGCCAGGGCGATAAGTTAGTGTTTAATGAGCCCAGAATTTCAAGATGGGATGATGAAAAAATTCTGGGAATGGGTAATGGGGAAGGTTGCACTACAATCCAAATGTAACCCAGACCGGTTTGGCTCAGTGAATAGAGCCTCGGCCTGCTGACTGAAAGGTCCCAGGTTCAATCCCCCTCAAGGGCATGTACCTTGGTTGCGGGCACATCCCCAGTGGAGGGTGTGCAGGAGGCAGCTGATCGATATTTCTCTCATCAATGTTTCTAACTCTCTATCCTTCTCCCTTCCTCTCTGTACAAAAAATCAATAAAATATATTTTTAAAAATGTAAATGTACTTACTACGACTAAACTGTACACTTACAAATAGTTAAAATCATAAATTTTATGTTATACATATTTTATCATGATTTAAAAAATTTTAAATCGTCAAAGACAAAGGATTGTATCATGTACTGGGTAAAGCCCTGATACCCAATTTGGTGGCCACTAGCCACATTTCGCTTTTGAGCCCTTTAGAAAGGCTAGTCTTGCCAAAACCGGTTTGGCTCAGTGGATAGAGCGTTGGCCTGCGAACTGGAAGGTCCCAGGTTCGATTCCGGTCAAGGGCATGTACCTTGGTTGCGGGCACATCCCCAGTGGAAGTTGTGCAGGAGGCAGCTGGTCGATGTTTCTCTCTCATCGATGTTTCTAGCTCTCTATCCCTCTCCCTTCCTCTCTGTAAAAAATCAATAAAATATATATTTTTTTAAAAAGGGCTAGTTTTACTGAAATGTGCAGCAAATGCAAAATATACATCAGATTTCGAGGGCTCATACATACTTTTAAATTTTATTTCTTGACTTTAGAGAGAGGAAAGGAAGAGAGAGGGAAGCATCAATTGGTTGCCTCCCACGCGCACCCTGAGAAGGCTCAGGGATGCACCCAGGTACGTGCCCTTGACCAGGAATCGAACCTGAGATCCTTTGGTCCTCAGGCTGACACTCTAACCACTGAGAAGCACTGTCCACGGCTGGAACTGAGTTTTCTTATTGGCTGCAGTACTACTCCCGGGAGAGCCGGACCTGCCCACCCCGGTGGCTGGCCGGCCTCCCTTCCCCCCACTCCGCTCCCCACGCATTCAGCGGCAGCAGCGGGCAGCCTGGTGACTCACAGCTTCCGTATGATGGTCTTCTCCTCCTTGTTTCTGCTGGCGCTGCTGGCCCTGGCAACCACGGAGTCCTTTCCTCTCCTTCCCTCTGGGCTTTCTCGTGCTGGAATCAGGCCACTGGGAAAGGGAGGGCAGACAAATGGGTTGTTTTACTGCGGACCTCTTATCGGTGCAGTTCTGAAAGTGAAGAGCCTTCATCATCATCATTATTTTTTTAATAAAAAAGACTTCCCAAATAGTTTATCCCAGATCCTCCAATTATTTATGTTTATCCCATTTATCTTATCTTTCCACCCACCCACCCACCCACCCCACCCTTCATGCCTCTACCTTCTTTCTGAACCACTTGAGAGTTGCAAACAGCTTACACCTTTATTCCTAAAGAATTCAGTGTGTATTTCCAAAGGACAACGATATCCTCCCATAACCAAATAGTTCAGTTATCAAAATCACCTCACTGATCCTTTAAAACGGTACATCAGGTCTTGTCATTCCCTCGATTAAACCTTCCCCACTTACAATAAAATCGGAGCTCTTGCCTGTGGCGGACAAGGCACCACTCCCCAGTCCCCAGACTCTTCTGGACCACCCTCTCCTACGTTTCAGGTTCCCCCTGCTCTTTAACTGGCCACGCTGGTTCCCACTTGACTTTGAACTTCTCTGAACTTCTCACTCCATTCTGGTCCTACCGAATCTATACATGGTTGTCTGCTTCTTGTCCTTCCCCCCAGAGGGGTTGTCCCTAACTACCCAATCTAAAGAAGTCCCTCCCTTGGTTCTGTGGTTGAATATAGACCTATGAACAAGGAGGTCACGGTTCTATTCCAGGCCAGGGCACACGTGCCTGGGTTGTGGGCTTGATCCTCAGTGTGGGACATGCAGGGAGGCAACCAATCAATAATTCTCTTTCATCACTAATGTTTCTATCTCTCCCCCTCCCTTCCTCTCAAATCTATAAAAAAGTATTTTGCCCTAACCGCCAAGTTTGGCTCAGTGGCTAGAGCGTCAGCCTGAGGACTAAAAGGGTCCTGGGTTCGATTCCTGTGAAGGGCACATGTTGCAGGAGGCAGCGGATCAATGATTCTCTCTCATCGTTGATATTTCTATCTTTTCCTCCCTCTCCCTTCCTCTCTGAAATCCATAAAAATATATATTTAAAGAAAATAAAAATGAATAAAAAATAAAGAAGTGTTTTTAAAAAATAATAAATAAATAAATAAATAAATAAAACGAGTCCCTCCCCACAACTCCCTCGGCACTGGGGTCTCTGTCACACCCCTGGCGTTATCTTCCTGAGAGCGCTGACACCAGGATCCTGAGTGCTTATTTCAGGCTTCCTTGCTGCCAGCCTGTCTCCCTAGATGGCACGCACTTGCTCTGTTTCGGTCACGCTCCGCCCCACCGCTGGGCACCATGGGCGCGGATAAGCTGTCTGAATGGCGCTGGGCACACACACGGGACGGACGTGTAAAGGGACATGGGAAGGCGCCCACCTCTTGTAGCACTGCAGCTCCTCCTGCGTCAGCAGCAGCTGCGCCTTGAGCTTGTTGCGCTCCTGCAGCACGTCCCGCAGCTCCTGCAGCGTGAAGCGCGGCCGGTTGGGGTCCGTCAGGTCCACCACCATCTTGTCTGGTCCCAGGCTCCCCTGGAGAAGAGATGTCACTGATGCAGCTTCCCTCGGGAGGATGGGCTGTCCACCCCAGAAAGCTACGGCCTCTGGTTTGGTTACTCCCAGGGGCCCTAGCGAGAGGGTTGTGTGGCCTGGTGGGGAGTGTTTGGCTGGTGGGAAAGAAGCAAAGGTACCATTCTCCAAGGAAAGTGCCCGGGCTCCTTTGGCTCAGTGGATAGAGCGTCGGCCCGTGGGCTAAAGGGTCCCGGGTTTGGTTCCCGTCAAAGGCGTGTGTCCCTTGGTTGCAGGCCTGCACCGTGGCCCCAGGTCAGGGCGCATATGGGAAGCAACCAATCTCACATCTATGTTTCTCTCTCTCTCTCTCTCTCTCTCTCAGCATGTCATCCAGGGAGGCTTTAAAAAACAGGAAGAAGGTTGTGACACATGGATGAACCTTAAAGACATTATGCTAAGTGAAAGAAGCCAGTCACTAGAGGACAAATATCATATGAGTCTACTTACAGGAAGTACCTAAAATAGGCAAATTCATAGAGATAGAAAATAGAACGGAAGTTACCAAAGGCTGGGGGAAGGGGGAAACGGGGAGTTGCTATTTCACGGGCACAGAGTTGCAGTTTTGCAAGATGAAGAGTTGTGGAGAGGACGGTGTGATGGTTGCACAACCATGTGCACGTACTGAATGCTACTGATTTTTAAAATGGCTAAAGCGGTGAGTTTTATGTGTACGTTGCTTTGTGGATATAAACACATGGCAAAGATCAAGCAGTAAAATCACGGTTGAAATAATAATTGAGAAGAATAAATAAAAAATAAGGCCTATTTGCATGAACTGTCTAATGGAACTAAACATTCCTTCTCTGCCTTTCCCCCACCCCCGTTCTGAAGACTGTGCTTTGGGAGGAAAATGTGCCATCTCAACTGCTGGCTGACGAAGCCTGTCCACTGTGCCCCAGGGGAAGTCACACTGTCCGTGGTCCCCGGTGGGGCCTCCTCCGTGTCCTTGTGCCTGGAACTGAGGTGTCGGGAGGAGGGCACAGGGCAGATCTTATTTTAAAACCTCTTAAGGCAGATCTTATTTTTAAAACTGTGGCTGAAGACCCTATACTGAGTATGATATTAACTTAGTGAGTCGCAACAAGAATTTAAAAACTCATAAAGTAAGAAAATATGACAGTGTTTCATGTTGAGTTGGGTAAGTTGATTCCTGAAATGTAATCTTGTAAAATGGAGGTATAACACACATGGAGTAAAACATATTAGTACTCATGAATTTACTGCTTGATCTTTGCCATGTGTTTATATCCACAAAGCAACAGTACATTTCCTCCCTGCTCCCTCTTACTGTCCCCGCCCTGGGGTTAGGTTAGCGCCAATCTGTCCTCTGTAAGTAAAGATTATTCTGCCTGTCCTCAAATCTCACATATGGTAGGCTGTCTTTTGTGCCTAGCTCCTCCTGTTTTTCTATTTTTAAAAAAAAAATTTTATTGATTTTTTACAGAGAGGAAGGGAGAGAGGTAGAGAGCTAGAAACATCGATGAGAGAGAAACATCGACCAGCTGCCTCTTGCACACCCCCTACAGGGGATGTGCCCGCAACCAACCGTACATGCCCCTGACCGGAATCAAACCTGGGACCTTTCAGTCCGCAGACCGACGCTCTACCACTGAGCCAAACCGGTTTCGGCTCCTCCTGTTTTGTTTTGTTTTTAAATATTTTATTGATTTTTCCACAGAGAGGAAGGGAGAGGGATAGAGAGCTAGAAACGTCAATGAGAGAGAAACATCGACCAGCTGCCTCCTGCACACCCCCCTATCGGGGATGTGCCCGCAACCAATGTACATGCCCTTGACCGGAATTGAACCTGGGACCTTTCAGTCCGCAGACCGACGCTCTACCACTGAGCCAAACCGGTTTCGGCTCCTCCTGTTTTTCAGTGCAACACCTGGAAGGGTCATCCACACGGTTGTGTGTATAAGCACTCTGTTCTTTTTCAGAGCTGCGTAGTGTTCCATTGTATGGATATACCAGCATTTAAAAACCCACCCATTTCTCCAGTGCATTTGGATTCTTTCCAATTTTGGCACAATTACGAATAAAGCTACTCTGAATATTTTCATACGGGTCTTTTTTGTGGTCATAAACACGAATTTCTCTTTAGTCAAACTTTACTTCTTCATCTAGGTCGAAGACACAGTGTGATGCCTGGACCATTAGCATCAGCATTATCTGGAAGCTCGTTTGAGACACATATCCTCAGGTCTCAGTCCTGACCTACTGAATCAGAAACTCTGGGGCTGGGCCAAAACCGGTTTGGCTCAGTGGATAGAGCGTCGGCCTGCGGACTGAAAGGTCCCGGATTCGATTCTGGTCATGGGCATGTACCTTGGTTGCGGGCACATCCCGAGTGGGGGGTGTGCAGGAGGCAGCTGATCGATGTTTCTAACTCTCTATCCCTCTCTCTTCCTCTCTGTAAAAAATCACTAAAATATATATTTTTAAAAAGAAACAAAACAAACAAACAAACAAAAAAAAACTCTGGGGCTGGGGCCCTGCGGTCTGTGTTTTAAAGAACACCAGGTGACGGTGATGCTCGCTAAAGCGTGAGAATCACTGATCTCGGTCATGGTAAAACATGCTAGCGGCCACTCATTTACAACTACCCAGGGTAGGGCCCAGCACCTGGTAACTGCTCCACAAATGTTTCCAATCACAGTGTTTCCAATCTGAGGGCTGGATACTTGCAGTTGCTCTGCTTGTAGGAAAGGGGCCCGGCCGGTGCTGCTCAGTGGTTGAATGTCGACCTATGACCCAGGAGATCATGATTCCCGGTCAGGGCAGAAGCCCGGTTTGTGTGGGGCATGCAGGAGGCAGACAATCAATGATTCGCTCTCATCATGGATGTTCCTAACTCTCCCTCTCCCTCTCCCTCTCTAAAATCAATTTTTTAAAAAAATGAATTTTAAAAGAGAGAGCGAGCCCTGACCGGTTTGGCTCAGTGGATAAAGCGTCGGCCTGCGGACTGAAGGGTCCCAGGTTCAATGTCAAGGGCATGTACCTTGGTAGCTGGGCACATCCCCAGTAGGAGGTGTGCAGGAGGCAGCTGGCCGATGTTTCTCTCTCATCGATGTTTCTAACTCTCTATCCCTCTCTCTTTGTAAAAAATCAATAAATTGTTTTAAAAGGGGGGAGGAGAGGGGGCCTCCGTGCCAGCGGGCACTGCCCCCCGCGCCCCCGGCCCCCGCACTCACCTCGGGGCCGGCCGCCGCGCCCCCTCTGCGCAGCGCCTCCACCTCCTTCCGCAGGCTGTCCCGCTCCATCCGCAGCGCCTCGGCCGCCAGGCTGCCCTCGTCCACCAGCGCCTCCAGCATCTCCAGGACGCGGACGATCTTGAACTGCAGCCGTGTCACCCGGGGGTCGCTGCCCAGCGCCATGAGCTCGCGGCCCACCTCGTAGGAGATGTCGTACACGTCCTCGGCCGTCAGCTGGAAGGGGCTCTTGCCCAGGGCCCCCTCGGGCCCGGCCTCGTCCTCCTCCTCCTCCTCCACCTCTTCCTCCCGCAAAGGGGGCTCCTCCATGGCCGCGCACGGAGCCCCGCAGCCTCGGGAGCTGCTGTCTCCGAGTCTCCGAAGGTCCAACTTCCCCCGGACACAGAGAACTTTCCGCCGCAGCCCGCCCGCCCCGGCGGGGACGGCCCGGAGCGGCCAATCAGCGCGGCCGCGGGGGGAGCGCGCGGCTCCGGCCCCGACGCCCCGTGCGCCCCGGCGGCCGAGGACCCGGCGAAGGGCGCCCCGAAGATGTGGTTTGGGGGGGAACGGACGTGGACGGGAAGGGAGCGCAGCCGAGAACAGGAACGGAGAGGATCGGGGTGGCCGCGGCGGCTCCCCACCGGGCAGCCGTTGCAGACTCCCGGGGAGGAGCTGCGGCGCGGAGCTCCGCCCCTGGCGACCGCGGCTACGGACGCCGAGTTTCCACGGAGAAGGGGGCGGAATTTCCGACGTCGGGCGGCGAGAGGGAGTAAAAAAAAAAAAAAAAAAAAAAAAAAAAAGCACCCAGCTTTTTCCTTTCTGCACTCAGGCTTTCCAGCCGCAGAACTGGCATTGCACCTGGAGGGAGATCGGGTCTCTGAAGTCTGCTGAGGTCTGCGACAGGGCGCAAAGCGGTCGTTGGGGGCCGTGTGCCGGTGCGCCTGGGAGCCCGGGTTGCGAGAAGCTCCCAGGCCCGTGGTTGCCAGGGCCTGGGGCATCGGACCCTAATTTAAAATGAGGAACCCCTGCGCTGTGCGCTTTGCCCGTTCTTGGGCTCCTCCAGGCAACCAGCATTGTGGCCTTGGCCAAGTTACTAACTCCTCCGAGCCTCAAGGTCCGCCCCAGTGAATAACAGCACCGAGGCGGAGGGGTTGAATATACCAGGTGATGTTTCTATCTCTGGTACATTTAGACATCAAGACCTTAATAAATGGATGAGATAATGAGATAATGAGCGTGACAGAAAGCACCAGGAGGCGCTCAGAAACGCCAGCTGGTATTCTCCTTCTTTCCCCCAGAAACAAACGTGAAGCTTGCGTGCCACGCGGACGCTTGGCACGTGGAGTGGGGTGGGCACATTCTGCAGAGACACTGGTCGAGGGTATTCCTGATCCATCAGCAGTGGGGCTTGCAAAACGAATTACTTCTGTTTTGCTGAGAGGTTTGTCACAGAGGGAGAGAGCTCAGCAACCGAGCCTGCCTTTCTCGGGAACACGCTGCCAGCTTTCTTTGTAAGAAGCAACATAGACACTATTTCCCAGGGCACGGTGTTCCGAGGATCAGAGGGAGGATCGTAGACAAGGGCTCGGATGTTACAATGCCCAGTGATTCAATCCCGAGATAAAATATAAATAAAAACGGTACAGCCGCACCATGGAATAGTGTTCAGCCATAAAGCAAGGGAGGAATAGGGAGACCGGAAATAAAACCTAACAAATACAGTCCAATGGTTTTCAACAAAGATGCCACGGCCATTCACTGGGGAAAGGACAGTCTTTTCAACAAATGGTGTTGAGAAAATCGGATAGCCACATGCAAAGTGTGAAGTTGGATTCATACCCTCATACAAAAAAATTTTTTAAAAAATGAACTCAACAGGGATCAAAGACATAAACCTAAAAAACTCTTATAAGAAAACATGACATAACGATTATGTCATTAGACTTGGCAATTTCTTCAAAAGCACAGGCAACAAAAGGAGGATACATTGGGTTACACCAACATTTAGAACTTGTGCATCCAAGAACACAATTACCAGACTGAAAAGGCAATCTACGGAAGGGGAAACATTTGCAAATCATATCTGATATCCAGAATATATGTAGAAGGCCTACAATGCATCATCAACAACAACAAAAATTCAAGTAATGGGCAAAGTAAAAATCAAGGCAAAATCCTTAGCAAGATATAGCAAACAGAATCTGATACAACATAAAAAGTGTTATATATGACTAGGGGCCCGATGCATGAAATTCATGCAAAAGCAGGCCTTCTTCCCCCAACTGCTGGCACACTAACCGCTTCTGCCTGCCAGCCTGATCACCCCTTAACCACTCCCCTGACATCCGGATCGATGTCTAACTGCCCTCCCCTGCCAGCCTGTTCCCCCCAAACTGTCCTCCCATGCAGGCTTGGTCTTTCCCAACTGCCCTCCCCTTTTGGCCATCTTGTGGTGACCACCTTTGACCACATGGGGGTGGCCATCTTGTGTGTTAGAATGATGGTCAATTTGCATATTACTCTTTTATTAGATAGGATAACCAAGAGGGGTTTATTCCAGGGATGCAAAACTGGTTCAAAAAAAATCAGACTAGCCTTGGCCGGATAGCTCAGTTGGTTAGAGCATCCTTTGATAGGCCAAGGTTGCAGGGGTAATCCCTGCTCAGGGTACATACAGGAATCAACCAATGAATTCACAAAATAGGTAGAACAAGTAGATGTCAAGGCACATACCCTGATTGTGGGTTCAATCCCCAGCTGTGGTGCCTGTAGGAGGAAACCAATGTTTCTCTCGTGCTCTCAAAATCAATTTGAAAAAAATTCAAATTTTATCTTATGTGCTCTTGACAAAAAAATTTTTAAAATACTTATTTTTATTGAGTTGAGAGAGGGAGAGAAACATCAATGATGAGAGAGAGACACTGATTAGCTGCCTCCCGTGCCCTGAAAAGGGATCAAGCCCACAATCCCGGAATCCAACTGTGACTTCCTGGTTCATAGGTCAACACTCAACCACTGAGCCACATCAGCCAGGCTCAGCTCCACAGCGTTTTACTGGTGTATATACTTGTTTGACCTACACTGAGATCAAGGTATAGCATATTTTCAGCACTCCAGAGAGCTCTCTTAAAATTCTGGTCGAGAACTGCTCAGCTGGTGTGGCTCAGTGGTTGAACATGGACCTGTGAACCAGGAGGTCATTATTCCATCCCCAGACATACCCACCCAGGCTGCAGACTCAAATGCCAATAGGGGATGTGCAGAAGGCAGCTGATCAGTGATTCTCATTCTCTCTTATCATTGATGTTTCTCTCTCTCTTCCTCTCCCTTCTTCTCTGAAATCAATAAAAATATATACTATTTAAAAAAAAAAAAACCCATTGTGAAGCTGTACACACTACTTGTGCTTTTCCTTTGGGTAAATCATACCTTGATAAAGTGCTGGGGCTGGAGTGGGAAGGGAAAGAATGAGGCACTGACACTCACTACAATGAGGATGCTCTCTGGCAACACTTTGCTAAGTGAAAAAAGCCACAAAAGACCACGAATTGGCCCTAACCGGTTTGGCTCAGTGGATAGAACATCGGCCTGCGGATTGAAGGGTCTCAGGTTTGATTCTGGTCAAGGGCATGTACCTTGATTGCAGGCATATCCCCAGTAGGAGGTGTGCAGGAGGCAGCTGATCAATGTTTCTAACTCTCTCTCCCTCTCCCTTCCTCTCTGTAAAAAAATCAATAAAATATATATTGTACGATTGCATTTACGTGAACTGTGCAGAACAGTTCTGTGGAGACAGAAAGCAGACCGGTCGTTGTCTGGAGCTGGGGGAGAATGGCCGGCAGGTGTCTGTGAATGTGGACAGGGTTTCTTTCTGGGGTGATGAAAATGTTCTAAAGTTAGAGGTGGTGATGGTGGCACAATTCTGTGAATACACCACAAACCACCGAATGTACACGTGAAGCGGGTTAATTTTGTGATTTCTGAGTTACTACGTCCCAATGCTGTGAAGTGGAAGTGGTCTCCCAGAGCAACCCTGTCAGAAAGAACTTAGTGTTGCTGAGTTTCTTTTACCTCCAGTATCCCCACCCACCACTGCAAGCGTCAATCTCGTCCCCACCACAGTGACTGTCAACAGTCTGAAATTTCCCTAGAAATTCACCCTCTAAGGCACTGGATTGTCCTTCCTTCGTGCTTTACACCTTTTGCTACACAGGGAAACCTAGTGACTCATGCCTTTAAAATGTCAAGAGGTCTTCCATTGAGTAGCTATGCTTTTGATATAAAAGAGCATCTTTAGTTCATTTATTTACTGAACATTTACTGTGCAAAGTCTGTAGTGTCTTAGTCAATAAGGGCTATTGAGTTCAAGCAGTCTTTTTTCTTTTTTTTTTAACCTTAAAAAGAGGAAGAGAGAAAGGACAGAGAAACATCGATTAATTGTTCCACTTAATTATGCATTTATTGATTGATTCTTGTAGGTGCCCTGACTGGAGATGGAACCCACAGCCTTGGTGTATTGGGATGATGATCTAACCAACTGGCTTGACGTGGACCTCACAAATTCCTACTTGCTGGTATATAAATCAGATCAAATTCCCTAATCTCTCCAAATCCCATGTCCTCACTGTAAATTGGGGGGAAAGTAGTCCTTAAAGCTGGTATAGGACTGGATGAGATAAGGCATAGAAAGTGCCTATTCCCGTGTCTAGCACATCATAAGAACCAATGGATGTTGCTCTTTATTACAAAGTGTTAATGACTCCTAGATTCCTTCTACAATTAACTGCACAATCTGTTGGCAGGTAATCATGACCCTTCTTTCTCTCTTGGGAAATTATGAAAACAATTACGAGTTGTTGTTTTTTTAACATATATGTTTTTATTGATTTTAGAGAAAGGGAGGGAGATAGAAACATCAGTGATGAGAGAGAATCATCTATTGGCTGCCTCCTGCATGCACCCTACTGGGGATCGAGCCCGCAACCCAGGTATACGCCCTTGGCCAGAATTGAACCTGGGACCCTTCAGTCCGCAGGCCAATGCTCTATCCACTGAGCCGTAGGGCACAATTATAAGTTATTGTAGAGGTTCTTAAAAGTATACTCCATGGAAATAACCCAAATGTCCACCCACGGAAGAGTGGATAAACAAAACGGCTCCAGCCCACCCATGGAAGAATGCATCACCTGGAAACTTTTTAGAAATGCAAATCCTTGACCCACTGAATCAGAAACTCTGGGGGTGGGCCCCAGCCATCTGTGTTTTGACAAGCCCTCTAGGGAATTCTGATGCACACCCAAGTTTGAGAAGCAATGAGTGGTAGCATAGTG